CTGGCTATGTCCCCTCCTCCATCCCTTCCTGGACCCTTCCCATCCCTCCCAGCCTTCCAGCTGGCCTAGATGTTTGTCTTCAGGGTAGGTATGGTGTCTCCCCTGGCACTGTAAGTCAGGAGAAGGGCAAGGTTGACACACGGCTCTGACCATAGGTCGCAGAGTCTGCCGTGATACCTCAGTGGCAACGGCAGGAGCTACAGACCACGCTGAAGATGATACAGCGCCGTGCCAACACTGCCATCCGGAAACTGGAGAAGGGCCAGGTAAGAGGAGATCAGCCATGCCCAACAGACATCACCTCGCTAACCCTAGGAAGCTTCCAGAACTGGGATAGAAGTCCGAGGCAGGATTCTACTAAATGTGTTCCCATGTAACATATAAGCAAGCCACTCCCCACCTCTGCGTGACCATAGATCCTGCCCCCTCAACCCTCCTGCCCACCCACCACCGTTCCCGTTAGGCAGCCTCCTGACTCAAATGCCGTTCAGCCTTAATTGCTCCTTGATTGCCAGTTCCAGCTCCCCTCCCAGGCCATCTGTGCTATCTGGCCTTCCTCCTCTCACCTTCAGCAACTATTGTAGGGCCCTGTGACAGAATAGAAGAGCCAAGGCAGTCACAGAAGGTCACAGATGGAACCCAAGAGAGCAGACCTCGCCAGGCAGACCTCCTGCCACCTCTCCTCAGAGCAAATGGCCTTTATAGTGAAAGCACGGGAGGGAGGGGGCTGTTGGACCGAGTCTCAGTTCAAATGTGGAGTTTCCATCCCTGGCTCCTCTGCTGCTCCCCTGCCCCACAGGCTACGGAGAAATCCCAGGAGCTGTTGAAACGACACTCGGAGGGACCTCTGATCGTGGACACTGTCTCTGCCGAATCCCTCTCAGTAAGTGCCATGCAGTGACCCACCTGGGGCCTGCAGGAGGCCAAGTCCTGCCTGGGAGGTCCTGAGCATCTAGGGAGTGGTGGGTCACTGTGTCGCCCTCACACAGGTGCTGGTAAAGGTCGTGCGGCAGCTGTGCAAGCAGGCCCCCAGCATGTCTGTGCTGCTGCTCAGCCCCCAGCCCACTGGCAGCGTCCTGTGCGCCTGCCAGGTGGCCCAGGTAAGAGGGTCCCAAGAACCCACCCTAAATGGCCTGTGCCTAGTTGTTTCCACCTCTTTTCTTCTTCCAGACAGATGTAGGGTACAGGGAGATAACCCATGACAGGAATAGAGCAATCTCTCCTCATCCCTAAAGATACTCCCTCCCCCTTCCCAAAAGGCATTGTGAAATTCCTTAGTCACCTGCCTCAAGGCCCCAGTTCCTGGCTCATCGCTTCCATACGTATTCCCAGCCTGTTCTTTATTTGCCTCACCAGATGCCCCTCTCCTGTGCTCAGCCTGGAAGAGGGTCCTCATGGCTGGTGACAGCATCCTTGAGGGTCCACTGAATGGGTAGCAGCAGTGAGGACCAGTTCCACATAGCCTCCCCTTCTGATTCTCTCCCCGCAGGATGCCACACCTACCTTCACAGCTGAGGCCTGGGCACTAGCTGTGTGCAGCCACATGGGAGGCAAAGCTTGGGGTTCTCGAGTGGTAGCTCAGGGTACCGGACACACCGCTGACCTGGAGGCTGCCCTCGGGACTGCCCGAGCTTATGCACTCAACCAGCTCTGACCAGACCCACCCAGGGCACAAGGGAATGAGAGGCAGGCAAGCATCTGGAGCCCTCAAGGAACCACAGAGCTTTCCTGGAGGCTGAGACAAAGGACCAGCAGCTGGAGGTATCTGAGCCAAAGAAGACCACCTAGGCCACCCGGAGATGAGGAGAAGCCAAAGCGAACTGAGAGGCGGCAACCCCAACAGATGTGAAGACCCGGGCTGCTATAGCTGGGGGCACCTATTAAAAGTATTTCACAGGACTGGAGACTTGGCTTAGTGTTTAAGAGCACGTGTTGTTCCCGGAAAGGACCCAGGTTTGACTCCCAGCATCCACATGGAGGCTCCCAGTCTCCTCAGGCACCAGAAAAACATGTGGTACACAGACATACACGCAGGCACTCGTGTACACAGTCACTCATACACACAAAACAATAAAATAATTTCTTTGAAAAAAAAAAAGATGTTTCACAGAAGATTGGAAGTTCTAGAGGATTCTGTCTTTGGAAAAAAAGAGTGGCCTGCTCAGCCATTTAAAGTGCCCTGTGCACTTCCAGAGGCCCAGGGTCAGCTCCCGGCACCCACGTATGACTCAGTTGCCTTTAACCCCATCGGCAGTCCATCCATTGCCCGTGTATGGATTCTGTGGCCCCTGCAAATACGTGACATACACAAAAGAAAGGTGACCTTCTTCAGCATCCGTTAGTCTGACCATTCACCCTAGTAGACAAGTACCTGGTACCTCAGGCTGGACCTTCCAAGAACACATGTTCAGAGGGGGGGTCAGGATTGGCTGGATACCAGGAAGAGTCTCCTATCAAGACCCCAGAAATGTCATAGGAAAATCAGACCAGTGGGGCACACACCCCTAGTGCCATTTTTTTTTTTTATTAACAATGACTGAAGTAAAGCCAAGACGGTTTAGCTGAGCAGCAGGGCCTGGTCAACCGACAGTGACAAGGACCGGATACAACAGCTTTGCCCTTGTGGAGCCTGGGGGTGGGGTGTTCGTCAAGGATGAGAAAGGGGAAGAATGGTGACAAGAGGACACAGTTGTGTCACTATCTCTGGGAAGGGTGTCTGAGCTAGGAGGGCCGGGCATGAGCCTTGAGGAAACCTAAGAGAAATGTTTGAGCTGAAGGAACAGCGGGTGAGGCCGCAGGCAGTCAGAGCAGTGATGGACTTTTCGTACTGAAATAGGGCCTCCATATATATAGCTCTGTTTGGTTGGCCTGGAACCCCCTGTGTGGACCATGCTGACCTCTCACAGAGTCACCTATCTCTGCCTCCCAAGTGCTGGGATTGAAAGCATACACCACCATGCCCAGTCAACAACAGGCTTTTAAAAGTTAACACAGAGCAGGGCAGTGGTGGCGCACGCCTTTAATCCCAGCACTTGGGAGGCAGAGGCAGGCGGATTTCTGGGTTCAAAGCCAGCCTGGTCTACAGAGTAAGTTCCAGGATAACCAGGGCTACACA